AACGTTTGTTCTTCTTGAGCCTTCTTCACGTGCTACTAATCTGAGTGTCACACCGGTCGACTGTAGATGTGTGTGTGTGTGTGTGTGTGTGTGTGTGTGTGTGTGTGTGTGTGTGTGTGTGTTTGGGGATCCCTTCTCAACAAGGGTGCTTTAAATTTTTTTGAAAATGGTGTAAATAAAGCTTTTCATCTGCAGGCATTTAAAGTGCAGAATAAAACCCACAGTTTGCTTTCGGAGCAGCTTCCTATTATCACATTTCCACTTAATTTTATTTCTATTCTCTCCAAGTTAAATAGAAAGACTGGCTCACAGGGGAGCTGCCATGTGCCTACAGACTGGGGATGTCAAGCAGAGAGACTCACTGTGCAAAGTTAATTTCAATTCCCGCGGAGGATTTCACATTCCGGCTGGCTCTGACCCACAGTAATTAGCTGAGATAACTAATGATTACTTACTTATTCCTTGTAATTATCTGGATTTAATAATTCGCTGTGTAATTTATTAATTCGCTCATAATAGACTTTCGGTGCTGAGAATGGCTCCTTTAAAGGGGCAAAGCAGGGAAAATTTAGCTATTTTTTTCTCATTGCCATAAATCTGTCTCCTGACAAATGTGGACTTCAGGAACACCGCAGCTATTCAGAAACATTTGTCTTCTTTTTTTCTCTTATCAGGACACCAATCCAACTTTATTCTTCCTTCTGTTGTAGCCCCTCCCTCCAAAGCCAACTGAAAAGTAAACTTTTAAGTTCTAGCATGGATTGTTTACCTAGAAATAAAAATTGTTTTCGCCAAACAATTGCAAAGACCAATTTCTAAACTAACTGTCAGGGCTTGGATAGAAAATTTGAGCTTCATCCTCCGAATAATATGTATTTTAGAATCAAGTGAATTTTTCAGAGCTTTTGCCGTCATCTCCTCAAGAGCTTCTCCAGTAAACAGATCAAAATTAATTGATTTATTTGAGGTTTGAAATAAAGTATTTTGTCCTTAAAATTTCAATTCTCTTGGCAAAATTCCAATTCTCCCGGCAGAGAGAGGTCCCAGGATCCGTTTTTGGTAGTAGAAAGGCTTAGTAATGCACCGTTATTTATTTTTAAAATGCATTTTATAGAAAATAGGATAGTATTAAACTGTCTGTAAATCCTAATTATTTCATTCACTTTTTCAGATTTTTATTATTTTCCCCCAAGCTATATATCAATGAAACTTAATCTGATAAAGAATTTGACCAACTGATTTAATGTCAAATATCAAAAAGGAACTGCATTCTTTCTGGATAATATAATGTTTTGGTGTAAAGAATACTTAGCCATCAACCAGGGCTTACATAATCTGTTCAGTTAGTCACTTGTTCCATTTAAGTTTGGCCTTACAGGATCACATTGACCAAAAAGGTTGGATTGTTTGCTTTTAGAGAAGTTAAAAAAAATAAAACTACATAATTCTGAAACATAAAACTTAGGATGACCAAGTGTGCTAATCGAGTCATAATATATATATATTTCTAATAAAATAGCAGTTGTGGACCTTGAGGAAAAAAATAGGAAATGAGTCATGAATGCCAATGGATTTGATTGATATGACAGGGATGTTTAGAGACATTTTGCTATTTATCCATTTCAGTATTTTGAAAGTCAACACAGAGTGGATATTTCTCAACAATTTATACATGGTTCATTTTATTCTTACCTTTAATTTCTCTCTTAAGATTTACCCTCTTCTCTCCAAATCTCTTTGGTTTGGTATCTCTCTGCAACTCTGATTAATAAAAACTTTCAGAATATATTTATTTTTAAATTTTTGCTTCTCTCATAAAGCACACATTTAAGCAGGTTGTAAAAACAGAAACATATCCATCTTGTAGGCAAGAAAGTTTTTTTTTAACCCTTGTAATAACACAGAGAAGATGAACTTAAAATGTGATACAGTTTTAAAAGTCGAGGAACACAAGAGACAAAGAATACTTGGTAAATGAGGGGGCGTGTAAGCCTTCATTATCAAGTGTTGAAGTAAGTGGAGAGTTGTTATGTCACTTTTCTCACAAAAATCTTGGGCTTGCATGCATACACGCAAGATATTATGTCCTCCAAAATGTACCAAAAAGAATAAACACCTATTTTATTTCTGTTCAATGTATTTCTCGATTTCTACTACTTTTACAGGATTTCTCTCTTTATTGAAAGATGCCGTTTGTCGGAATAAGACACAAGTACACCTGTCTGTCTTTCCTCCAACTAACTCCCCTTTCTCTTAACATTCATACCCTAGCCCCTTCAATAAAAAAACATGTACAGGAAAGGGAAAGTATTATTTATTGAAGATCATTTTAATCCTAGATATGCAAGCCTAATATATTACACATTCAATCCATTTCATTCATTTTCTCCACTCTGGAAAAAGTAAGCAAGCAGAAAGTTCTCTAGCTGATTAGAAGTGCTTGGTCAAACCTGTGTCCGAATAGGGCTGTCGTGGGATCGCTGTCCATGGTGCTGAAATCAGTACTCAACATAATGACATTGGCTGTTTGAAAAGACTCTGAGGGAAACTGAATCTAAGAACAGGGAGGAAAATTGAAGAAGGAAGAGACAGAGAGAGAGAGAGAGAGAGAGAGAGAGAGACAGAGAGAGAGAGAGAGAGAGATTTCCCTTATTTGTAAGACAGCAACCCAGATGCTTACTGCTCTGGCTTGTATCCTTGCCCTCTAGGAGTGGTGACTGAACTGAGAACTATGGTAGGCCAGCACCTGGGCCTCATCCAGGGTGCTCTACTACTCCAACCAGGCCTTGGCTCTTGCCACACCCAGTCTCCCAGTGCTGCTGAAAAACGAGTGGAGTTCTTTTCTTCCTTTTACCCCTGGCAGATAGGAGGGAATGGATGAAAATGTTTCCATCCAATATCTCTGTTTGCAAAGACTCTTTTTGCAGAATCATTGCAGATCTGGAGAAAGGACTCCAAAGGAAGTATTTGGAGTCAAATACCATGATTTCATCTGGAGAGAAAATCAAAGCACCGTGTGAGATTAGCTATGACTATTTTAAAAAGCTGTAATAAACCCTTTTATTATACTTTAAATGTACTTTCCCAGAGAAACACCTCTACTAAGTCCCAACCATACTTTGATAACAACCACTCCCTAATGAACCATCAAAATGTGCTTCTGCCTTTAAAAACCTCCCGCAAAAATAATTCCCACATAAATAATTAAAACAACATCACATTTTAAAAGCCATTTAATTTTAATAGCATATTTTAATGAAAAAAGCAGCATACTTTGCCAATAAAACATTAAAATCATCTCTTCAGTGAAAGACAACACCAAAAAATAACTTAATACATTACCATAGTAAATAAACCATCTATTAACAAAAACAAGAAACCAGGTCATATACAGAACTCAAGACTTTGGAGAGCCTCAGATGGAATAGCAATACAGCAAAATTTGTAAGAATATATCTATATGTGCATCATTTTGAATGAAATATTTACAGTAGATAAGGTACCAGTCAACATGTACCTAAGTTTTTTTGTTCCAAAACAATTCTACCAAACAATGTGAATTTACAAGCAGTGCACTGTCTTTCTTATAATTCAAATTAGTTTCTCTACAAACAAACCTCCAAAAGGAAAAACTGAAGGATTCCTATAAATGTTAAAATGTAGCCAACAACTGGAAGATTGAAATATCTTGGTGAAATCTTAGGATCTGGAGGGCAAACATCGAGTGCAAATGCACCCAAGCTAGAAAATGATGCATTCAGTCATGGTTTCAGCTGCTTTTTTCTCTTCCGTTAGAGGTGTGTGTGTGTGTGTGCGTGTGTGTGTGTGCAAATGCACCCAAGCTAGAAAATGATGCATTCAGTCATGGTTTCAGCTGCTTTTTTCTCTTCCGTTAGAGGTGTGTGTGTGTGTGTGTGTGTGTGTGTGTGTTGCGTGTGTGTGTGTGCGTGTGTGTAAGGGTGTGAGAGCGCATGTGTAGTGAAGACAATGTGGGAATCCCCATTAAATATGTAACGAAGTAAACAATACTTCGGACAGTGAATTAGGTCTACACGATTAAGACATCCATTACTGAGTGTCGACTCACAAATCAGAACACTACCAATAAAAACAAAGAAAAAACCATCTTCGTTCAAAGTGAGAATATACAAATAGGCCAAAAGGAACACAGTATAAGAGGAAAACTGTAAAAACTCAGTAAACTCCTCCAACAAAAATTTTTGAATGTCACTAGCTATACGTTTCCCCCATGTTTTCAGTCTAAAGAAGTTTAATTAATTAGAATGTGCACAAAATTAAGTTGCTAGAGAGAGAAATTAATCATTTACAGAGGGTTGTTCGTCAATAATCTAGTAAGAGCTTTCAAGATCAGTGAACACAGCAGGCGCAACTCCTTTCTTAAGCATTAACACTTCAGCGAAGGGGGTAAGAACCACAATAAAAATATATATATAATATACAGTGTAAATGCAGAAAATCTGCCATCTTTTTTTTTAAATTGAAAATACTTTAGAGATGTCTCTCACGTTAAGCATCAACTCTAGTTTAAAGTTTCAATCATGAATCAATTTCTGCTTCTGAAAAATAGCTGTAAAGTGTACTTTTAAACTTGAACAAGGGTGATGTCTGTAAGAATAAAAACGAATCTTACTTGATTATTCTTGTGGACTTTTAAAAGGCTGTCTCGTCTGCCTTCCTGCAAACAGCCAGCTCCACACGTCCTCTGAAGAAGCCAGGGTGGAGTTAAATGGGACAACTTTGCTACAACTTGACGGATCCCATGTTTTGTGTTTCTTTCCTTGGAGAAACCGCTTCACTTTCTCACCGGTTTGGACTCAGTTGCTCGCTTGTTCGCTCCCTCTTCAATCCTCGGTTTCTCTGGATTCACATTTACTGGAGCTGTTTCTGGTCGCCAAAAGTGGAAAGAAAAGAGGCAGGAAAGAGAGGGAAGGGAAAGAGGGGATGCGGAGGGGGCCGTCCCTGGAGAGGCCAAGGGTCTCCTAAATGCCGGCGGAATATTTCATTCTTTTCTGTTTCTGCCTCTGGTTGCAGAACCAGACGCGCACCACGTTTTTCTTAAGGTCCAGCTTCTCCGCGATGGCTGCGATCTTCTCGGAGGAGGGCCGCGGCTGGATAGCAAAGTACGCTTCAAGCGAGCGCTTCTCCGGAGCAGCGATGGACGTGCGCTTGCGCTTCTTCTCGGCGCCGTTGAAGAGCTCAGGCTTGGTGAGCTTCTCGCGGTGGGACTTCTCGGCCTCTTCGAGCCACGCCTGCAGGATGGGTTTGAGCGCGATCATGTTGTTGTGTGACAGCGTGAGGGACTCGAACCTACAGATGGTGCTCTGGCTAAGCGAGCCCACGCCAGGGATCTTGAGGTTGGCCAGCGCTGAGCCCACATCCGCCTGGGTCACCCCCAGCTTGATGCGTCGCTGCTTGAAGCGCTCGGCGAACGCCTCCAGGTCCCGCGGGTCAGCGTCCACGTCGCTCATGCAGCCCATATGCGAGGGCAGCCCGTGCGCGTGGGCCATGCTGAGCGCGGCTTGGTGCATGGGGTTCATGGTGGCCATGTGCGGCGCGTGAGCCGGCGTGGACACCACGGCGCCGTCGGGGCCCGCCATGGCGCCCAGGGCCAGCCCGGGACTCAGGTGCTCCAGCAGCTCGCCCTCGAGTGCCTGGTGCGGCTGATGGTGGTGGTGGTGATGGTGGTGGTGGTGGTGGTGGGTGCCCGCCAGCGCGGACGGGTGCGAGATGGGCACGGACGAAGAAGAGGCGGCTGACGTGCACGGGATGGTGTTCATGGTGTGGTATGTGGCGTCCGGCTTGAAGGGGCTGTGGTGGGGCGGATGGTGGTGGTGGCTCTTGCTCTGGGAGACGATGTCCACCGCCGCCAGAGCCTCGGCGCGGGCCAGCAGACTCTCATCCAGCCCGCCGAATATATTGCTCTGCAATTGCAAGTAGAAGGCACACATTACGCTCAACAGGGAATTGTGCGCGTTCTCTCCGGAAGCCCCGGCCCAGCGCTCAACACCACCGCCGAGCCTACAACATTCCCAGAACGTTAAAATAATAATAATAATAATAATAATGATAATCCTGAAAATAGGAGGTGAGGAAGAGAAGAGGGAAGCCACCAAGAGAAGCCGAGAGTGCAGGAGGAAGAAAGTGAGTCTGCAGACACAACACAACACAACACAACACGCGCACAGGCAACATCCCAGGTCATAAAAATTAATACGAAAGGCAAGACCCGCTGAATACTTAAGGGGGGGGGGTATTGGAGGTGTGGGGTGATTTGCTGTGCAGACATGAAAAAAACATCACGCAGATAAAGGGGGCTGTCAAAATGTGCCTTTAAGCGGTGATTATGCAGAAATACGCACCGGTGGGGTTGGAAGACAAGCTCTCCGCATCGCCTCCGAGCCCCCGCTGCCGCCGCCGCTGCTGCCACTGCTGCTGGAGCTACTGCTCCGGCCTCCGCCGCCGCCAC